TAGAAGCTCAATAACTTTGTTCATTGCATTTTAAACATTATACTAACATAAAATTCAGTATTTTTAAATCAATTTCACTGTCAGAGTTCATGATAGCTCACAGGTCGATCGATTAAATGCGTTAATCTTCATGCGATATTCCGATTCGCTGTTTCTATTGTTACTAACTAGTCGGTAGCCTACAAAGCGTTAGTTTTCTGACTTGGATCAATCGATTTGGTGCTATTGACTGTTCTGTCGCGGTCTAGTCCGTCCTGACCCCGCTTGTATCGGGTAAATCTAATGAATCCAAACGTGTTGGTTTGTAGACTCTGCTAATTAGCAGTAAGTACTCTTCGGAATAAAACGTGGCAATAGCTTAGCGTAAGCTTGATCAGAAATGACAACGTTCCACGCCTCTTTACTACGTACCGCGTGATTTTCGGTCTTTGAAAGAAGAGAGTGAATTATGTGAATCACAGCGGATCGCGCATTGTCTTAACCAATTTATTCCGATTATGGGAGTTGATCTGATTATACTAAAAGCAGGAACAAACAATTCTGCGAGACCAGTTCATTACTTATCAGTTATAAGCAGACAGTGACCGGACGGAGGAATAAGGTTTGGGCGCAGTAAGGAAATCTATTCCCAAACTGTGAGCCAACTGCATGCATGAAACAGCGCAAGATAAAATTGCCTTTGATTGATCATCGTTCGGACACCTGGGAACCACTATGTAGATTCGGACTTTGTTCCTAAAACTACTAAACAACGACTCATCTCTATCGAGTAGTTCAGGGTTTTGAACCACAGTCCTCATGACTACGAAGTGTCTGTGTCAGCACTGTAGTAAACAGGCTTGCACAGTGTAACCAGTTCATTTTGCATGAATGTCGAGTTTAATGACTGATAGTCAAAACTGAAGGTCAGGGATATGGGATGACTGTTAGCTATCTGTTACCTCCAATCGAGTGCTTTCGATGAAATCGGATCTACTGTAAACCAAAGATTCGCTCTAAAGATAATGTAAATCAACTGATCAATAGTATGGGTCTCATGACGCTACTCAAAAGCTGCCTAATGCTTGGCTATTTCTGGATATGTTCTCGCCCAACTCTCATCATTCTCAATTGTCTCGCTTGTATTCTGCACGGATTAAATTGCATCAAAACATGGTTCATATAGACGTTTTCCGCAATTCACGCAAAACTTTCGATCGTGCAGTCCCTCATGTAGGAATTGGATTCTCAGCCTACAGGGTTACTGCTTGAATTATTGTCGAATCCAGTAATTTCCACTGGCGGTTACTTTTGATGTAGTCAAACTACATGATAACAGTGTAGAACTTGATTCAATTATATAGTGAATTTCGTCGTGTACAGTGAAATGAAGCGTAAACTGAAAAGCTGGGAATCACTGGTCAGCCGGTTCGACCTAATTTAGTTTCATCATCTAAGAGAATTCATCCACTCGACTCCGGAGACCAGTGCTGAGAAGAGCGAGCGATGGCCCAACAGGCTTGCAAAAGTTGGATTGTGCTGTATCGAGTAAAGGTTGGTATCACCACACTGTGGCTAAAGGATAAAAGGAATGGAACCATTTCATGATAAATCACGGCTCCCTCATTTTAGAAAACACTCTCTGCTAACATCGAGTGACATTCCCCACTATTTGTTGTCCCCCCCCCCACACACAAACATCGATCAGGATGGGGACAATGGAAAAAGTGCTAAGTCTAATCTGTAAGCTGCATGAAAATTTGCCCATGCATCACTTTCCAAATGAGAAAGTGGATCATGCGGTCCTAGAAATGATCCAAGATAATTGACCATTGGTATGCAACCAGACTTTTCCTCTCCCACCACCAAATTGCAGACGAAATATATACCCACTGCAGCTTTTTCTGTACCACCAATCAAATAAGATATTTCTCTCCCACCCCTTTATCCTTCGTTCGTTGTAAATGAATGCTACTTTGCTTGTGATGGGGTGTGATTTTAACATCCTGCATTGATTTGAGAATGAAGTCACCGAATTTCCATATTCACTTGCAATCTCTATTCTGTTTTTACCAATGGGCTTATTCCGTGACCTTAAGCTTCTTTAATGCCTTGATTTAATGTGTATTCGGATGTGGATTTCCAATACAGATGCATATATTTTCATAACATAAGATTTTATTTAAACGAATAATACCTCTACCATCGGCGAAAATGCTTAACTTTAACTAAGTAGACTCCCCCAGTCTTTCTTAACATCTCTAATTTCATTTATCTGGACGATACAGTCAGTCGATCATCAGAGGCCTATTTCTTGCATTCCCTAAATCTACTCTGTGGATTACACGCGCAACATCTTTTGTTGACCATCATTAGCGCAATCCTTCAAAGATTTCTGGAGACTTCTAATAAAGCCTTGATTCCTAGAATTTGAGGCTTCTCATCAGAGAAGATCCGAATGATGTTTGTAAAATTTGTATTTTTCAAGAGGTAACAAGTGGTTACGACTTTGGACAAGAAATTAGAACAGAACGAATGCGCATCGGGGACCGTTGATCTTTTGTATTAATCCATTCAGAATGAAGATCTTCAACTTTTATCGATTTTACTTTCTTTTTCTGTTCACTTACTTTACATAAATTTGACCTTATTCTCGCAAGAATACCACGTTATTTTGTGCTGCCGTTAGGACCAACGTGATGCATATAGTAACTTGAATAAACACAATAGATCAATAATCATAATTTAATTTTGCAAACAAAATATTTTATGTTTATACTGTTAAGCAGGTTAAACGCATGCAAAAAATAGTAGTCAGTAATACCCTCGCTTTGCTGTTTCCATTTTAACCATATACTCAAAGCCATTCTGCCGTTTATGAGGAGAACGAAGCTTCACATTTTTACCTTTATATTCACCACATCCTAACTGTGCCATTAACTAACCTTATTTCAATCAGTTTGAGGGTTTTAAATGAGATACACTAATGGAAAACATCGCCCGATGAAGTATTTTTTAGTGAAGTTTGAGTAAGATAGATAGTCTAAGACGATTCACTGTCCGCAAGTCCCAATGCTCAAAGAGGAAGAATCGATGGGAGAGATTTTCCCAAATACTAATTGCTATTCCGAGACCAGAATCTCTCGGATTTTGGTTGTTCGCCAGAGAACACTTAGACACTATTTATGTTATGTTTTTGGTATTTGATCCTTATCATCTGACCCAATTTCTTGGTCACTGCACTTCCACAAAATAACTTGTAAAATAATAATAGTTTAGTATCTGTACACACACGGCAACGTTAGTTTGTTGATTCGCTCTGTTTCACCCAGTTTCACTCATTATAGGACCCTGTGCCTCCCCTATGAATGATATGGTCAATGCATACCACACTCTGACCAGGAAGATCGGTCACTGGTATTTCTCTTCCAGTGACCTTCATATCGAGACCTTCTTATCACGTGATCTATATTCGCTTTCTTCGAACTGCATTGATCGTTATCCTAGAAAAACCAAAACGTATCTTGATCGATAAAATAAGGTTTTTCAGGGTGAGTCTACACTTTACCGCTCAAATTATTCCACGCATATGAAGATCTGTCTGAATTAGGAAGGGAATCTTTGGAGCGAATTGTTATCATTGGAAGAGCCCTGTTTGGAAATGTCAAAAAAGAGAACAATGCGATCTGTCAAGTCACCTTGTTTTTAGTTTATCGTAACCCAGCTAATTCATAACAGTAAATATATTTTACTACACAAAAGGGAGGATAACAGTGCAATTGATCACAGTGTCAAACATAAACATTACAGTTGGCAGGCTTGTTTGTAGCTGAAAGCTTTGAAGGCATTTCGGAATTTAAGCAACAGGTACCGAATGCTTAATGCGTCCATGGTATTTTAAATTTGTCCAATGGCTAGATGAGAATTTCTCCCTAGTTACAGAATATGCATGAGTATCCAGTTACGTAGAAAAATCTTTTTTATCAAACTGATATCACGCAAATCCAAATCGATTTTCCCAAAGGTTTAAAGCTGACTCAAATGCTGCTTTATTTACAGGATTGGCAAAATCTTTGCTGCGTATGTTTTATTTTTATATTCTCCTTCTTATTGTTACTATCGTACATGCTATAAACAACTTGCTGCAATGCATGTTTAAATTTGTAGTTATGATGAGTGTTGTGTACACTGATATTGTCACTCTTCTTATCTGATTTCATGTAATTGATGAATGCTTTTCTGGTCCCTGTAGCAATGGCAGAACAGACCACTTCCGACTCAGGTGTGTTTCATCATGATTGTTTATTTTTTNTTTTTTGTTCCGCCTTTTACAAATTAGGCCATGTCTGTGAATTTCATAACAACTCATGGTTAATTGCCTGTGATTTCCGTTTTCGTTCTCTCATGCATTGGATTACAGGAAATAAAACTATCATTAATTCTTGATGAACCAGGACATTTGATGACACGGTACACAAAAACTCATAACAATATCCCAGTGGTCTCTTCACGACAGCAACGGACGACCCATAGAATAGCAGAGAATGGAAACAAAATCATCAAAAAATCGAAATGAATGTTCATTTATACAAAAAATATAGTCAAATATACCGGACGGTAATCACCGTTACCCTCCCTCGCCCGATGAGTAGCTTTATAATGACACAAAATGATAATCAGTTCGTAAATTTCTCTATCTACAGTTCACAACTATACACCTCAATCCATAAGTCAGTATGCACGATCGAATTTGCACCTTGCTAAACGTTCTACGGTTGACAACAAAAAGCATTTAAATTCCCTGGGTTGCCTATTCTGACTACACGGAACGGAATTCTGCCTACCGGTCTTCAACAGGTGAAATTCAGTGAATCCGGTTTGCGATACCCCTTAGGCGCAACTTAGTTGAAATGTCCTTCATTATCAAAATACCTTAATTTAGACCCCCAGTGAGTTAGGTATCGCGAAATATACGTTCACTGTTCGGGCATGGAATGCAATGTGTAACATTTTTGTACGAAATGTTCAAAAGTACTCTTAGGCTCACGGGCACAGGTGATCTGCCTTCTCTACGGCGAAGTACTTGCGTCACGGAGACGAAAACCACAAAGATATAATCCAACTTACCTTCCAAATGCTCGAAAGCCGGTTTTTACATAATAGTTAATGAGTCGCACTGATGCCTTTTAAATGACTCTGCATGAAATATATGGGATACGCCTTACTGCATATAAAGAGCATATGTAAAACGGTGATTTACGACGAGGTACATTTTACGCCTTGCGCCGAGCCTTAAGATGAGTGAAACCCGTAATCACTAGGGTTTGCTGTCCCCTTATGAAACTTGGAGTGCTATACCACATTGGGCATTGACAGGATGAAGTTAGTAATGAGTCGGACGATAGTTAGTTGTTCTTCAATGGTAGCAAACTAGTACCGCAAAAATCAAACTGAAATCATTCACGTTCCATCATTGACGAACTGACGAATATCAATTAGTGTAGTAGTCAGTCAATGTTTCAGGGCTGATCACATACACTGGTTGCAATAAGGCAGTTGGTATGCGCTTTTAGCCTGCTCCAAAGTCGGTCTGGCGAATCTGTACTGATACCTAATCCTCACAGCCCGAACCCGCTGCATGCAAAAATCTCCAGTTTTACTTGTGAAGTAACGCATCAGTGAGAAAACCAACATTTTAACTGAGCTTTTTCAAAGAAATGATATAACTGAGTGAAACAGTTGAGACTTAGCTTAATACATATAACCTTTATCCTACTTTTCAGGTGATCTGGTCAGTGCACTGCTAAGTGAGTTGGATGCTTGAATTTTCCCAATAAAACTGGTATGAATGAAGGTTGAAGATACATGCATGAGTCGTTCGTCGCTAAGTTACCAGTAACGCTTCACCTTCAGCAATTTGATTCGTTCTGATCAGATTATGTTTATACTAATAAGCCAATTACTGGCACAAACCTGGTTGTGTTCGCGAATCGGCAATTTTCGCATATAGAAAATGCTGCACCAGTTTATGAGTTGTGTTCGTTGGAATACAACAAATGGCAAGATGGCATGATAAAGGATAGAGTCGCACTACTACAGATACAGATACACTACTGTCCTCGGAAGTTCCATTAATGGGATGTGATAGGTAGGAGGATTTCAAATCTCCATTGCGAAAAAAATCAAAATGGATAAACTTGACTGATGTTGATAATGTTTCTCATTATTTCGTCTACACAAGACGACGAGTATTGCTGTCGTCTGCAATCAGATTACCGGATAGTTCGGTGATTTTCGACAGTAATCTCTTGCAACTTCCAGATGTTCGAATAAATTACGGCAGTTACTTAGGTGTCCGTATGCCTTAGCACCCGAAAGGCTGACACTTTCCGCTTTTGCTGTTTTACGACTTGTGAGCAGGATATTGATATAAATGGTTTTCTCGTTTGCAAAAGATCCAGAACCAATAACAGAATGGGCTAGAGATTGCAAAACGTTAACCGTGTTGGATCACAGGTTATAGAAGCGGCTTTTCTGATAATATAAACTATTTAGACCAGTTGACATTGCTGTTCAGCATACATCAAGAATGTTTCGAAGCAAAGATCTTCGAGATTCGCCAGCATACATCGCTGTTGGTGACACTTTTATATAAAATACCTGCTGTGTATAATAAACACAGCAGGACTGTTTTCAGTTTCCAATGGGATTTCACGAGAAACATTTCGTGTATATTAGTGATGTGCTTGAGGCAATTGATATTGTAGCAGAAAAATCCTTTTACTCTTTAGTTCTGGATGACTCGGTGCGATAGATCCGTTGACCGCGCCGGCAACGGTAATTTATCCGTAGTAATCCTTCAGTTTCTGAGTGCTTCGCACAATTACCGTTTAGGATTTGGTTTTAAACCTTTCTCACATGATAGATGAACCCGAGAGATTTGAAGTTTGCTTTTCTCGTTTGGGCGGTTCATTGACATTTTTGTGCTCAGTGAATAGGGTGGGTTTGAAATTTTCTCGTTCACAGTTTACGGTTTTATTTGAGCAGAAAATTGCGAACAGAAAACTGGACTGTTGTTTCGTTTATCCAACTCTGGGGAGGTTCTATATTCAGTGGCAAAACTGGAGTCTAGTGCAACCCGAGTACTTGCATGACTGTGTGAACTCCGGATTGTAGGCAGCATTCAGTGGGTGTATAGACAACAGAGAAATACTGATTTCGATTAATCAAAACGCACTATGAAAAATAAAACGGCTTTGGTGCTCACATTCCAACATTCTGGGATTTTCCGGAGGTAGGCGCCTTTTTGAGAAGTTCTTATCGCACTGGTTTCATTCAAATGTAGAATGCTTTTGATAACGGGCAGAAAATGATAACAGCTAATCCCGTTGTTCTATCATATTAATTCTCGTTTAGATCCATCCGATGCGAACAAACCTTGTGGATGTAAGTATATTTTCCGGTTTTTAAAAGATTAGAAGTTCTGTGCGACCAAGATACTAGATATGAGGCTAGGTTTCCTCATTAGTTATTTTCCTTTACTCAGAAAAATAGACTGAAATCACTTGGTACTCAATGTTTCTTTTACACCTTTGTTGCATTTTCTCAAATCTTTGTATGCGTTCCAGTTAAACGACATTCTGATTTCGTAAGGATGGAGAGCGGAAAACCATTTGGGAAATAAACAATGTACTTCAACAACTAAGCTCGGTTTTCTATACATCAATCACTGTTTGCTTTTATACTTATTCCAACGTAAACTAGAATCGTTTTAACAAACACAAATGTGATATTGTTGTACAGATTGGTGCACAATGAATTACTGTTACACTCAGTCCTATGTTGCTGGGCTTCTGTGTGAGGTGATATAATACCGACAAAAATATTTCACCCAGCCGATGAAATGAAGTTTTGATACAGGTGAAACGTTAGAACGTCAGGTAATAATTTATCGCGCCAAAGAGGTGACGTTTCGCTCTACGTGTTGAAAATAAACGTACTAGGAAATCAACCTGAGAATGCCTTATTTTTGGGTGACGGATTTGTTTGTTTACCTTCACATGTTTTGGCTAAAATCGTGTATTTCATTCTCTGTTTTTCAAACAGCTTGCACTTGCAGTTGTGACAAAGACATCAAAAACTGGGCTTCACCGTGCTCCACATGTAACAAATGCAGAATGAGTAAGTGATTTTGGCTCCTTGTTGCACATAAGTGCAGTTGGCAAGTTTCTACGTTCCACAGAGGCTTAGCTGAACTATCAAAGATTTGTTTAGAAATTCAATAATATATTTGCAACTGCTAACCGTTACCACGTTCAACTCGGTGTTTTTTCAAGTTCTTCTTGAGGAGAGAGCGATAGAGTTAGATAGAATTCTCTTTCAAGTTTTATAAACCCTATCCGTTGAACGAATCACGTCTCTGGAATAGTTGACAAAACACACGATATTGAACAGTGCAATAATTTGACCCTTCCAGGCGTCCCCATTGTGTATATTGTCGAAGCCGTTTTGATTGT